GAGCTTCCTTTCCAAGTTGGTTTCACATAAACTCTTTTATAACTTCAGTTCTGAACTTCTGTAGAACATCTCCAGTTTGCTTTTGTTGCTGTTGTTGTTGCTTCTTTTTGCTGCAAGAAAGCATTCTTTTTAGTTGTAAAGAATTCATAATCTCAAACCAACAGTTTTTCATGGTATTGAGGCATGGTAGAACAGTCTCTTATTATTATATGTCTCAAAGCTGCAGACTAAAGTGCATAAACGTGTTTCCTTATGTTCCTCTAAACAGCATGGTGTGTGTGGTTTTCATTTAATTGACAGATTTTAAGTCAACGGATCAAGTTTAGACACAAATTTCTGAGGTTGGTGAATATTGTATTTATAACAACAGTTTGCCTTCTTGTTGTCTGCCAGTTGCCAGCAGGTCTCTCCCACACCTTTGCTGTGAATTTTAACTCTGCCTATCATGAGGGGTCATGGGAAATTTGAAAGATTTGTGACAATAAGGCTTTCAAATGTGTATTTGACCTTCTTTTCTCTTAACAAGTCCATAAGACAGCAAATTCTTGTCCATTTAGACTGTTATTTAGCTTTTTGTGGAGAGGTAGTGAGACAAGCCTTGAGCCGTTGGTTGCTGTAAATCTCTTTGGTGCATAATGTGGTCCCCAAAAGTATCCAGGTAATGGTTTGTTCTAACTTCCAGCCATTTCTAATTGCTTACAGGTTGAGAAAATCATCACAATTACCCTTTGTTATTTTTGTTTCTTGCACACGAGATGAAATATGAGACACATAAATGAATAAAAAGAGGGCGTGGGGGGGAGGGAGAAGGAAGGAATAATTCACTCATTCTTAACATCCTTCAAGCCAATTAGCAGTAGATCCCAGGAATAGACATCTGACAGATTGGCTGGAGTTGGCAGCTTTTTCTGTGGCAGTTTGCTGCCACTCTCCTGCTTCACCTGGGAAGTCTCAGAAGAGGTTACATCGCTGAGCTGCCATTGTAGCAGTCCAAGATCACATCCATCATAGCTTCTGTTCAAGTTAATTCCATGCAGGAAATACTTTACATATTATGTCACATATGCTTGGCACTATGTGCCACCAGAAATACATATTAATGCGTTGCTAAATATTTCATAATCAAACAGTATATTATCATAAATAAAAGTGCAAAGTAGGCTATTTCCTATCCCAGTGTTAGAATCTCTCAGATCATTGTAAGGGCGGAGTAGTTAGCCCAGCTGAGGCACTCAGTCCAAGGTACAGTCAGGTATTTTTTATCTCAGTTATCTTGTGTCAAATCTTAAAGGTAGTCCACAATAAGGTTTATATTTCTGTGTATATATAGATAAAAACACACACACCTACAATCACACGTGTGTGCACACATGAGTACAGTGACACGTACACAGGCTGGGCACACAGAGAGTATAGATTTCAACATGAATTTGACATTGATTTCTGGGGTAAACAAATGGTTTTAAGTCTTTACTTGCCCACAGCTAGATCATAATATTCTGCATTTCAAAGTGTCCAAGTACCTTTAAAGTGATGGCTGCAGAGTCCCCCAAGGCATAAAGCAGATAAAACCTTCTTTTTAAAAGTATTTTGCTCACCTTTGTAAAAAAAGGAACTTGGGGTTTATTGAGTGCAGGAAAGCCTAATTCCCATAGTAACCAATGCACGGCTGATATTGATCAGCAGAGTCAAAGGCAAAACCTACTGACAGGAATAAAGAGTGACTGTTTCTTATCCTCATATGTATTCTTCCTGGAGTTCCTGGAGGTAACTGATCCCACAGGCATGTTGTGCTCCCCGGGAGTGAGAATGCTCCTGGTTGTGTCAGTGGCACACAATAAATAGGGATTCATAACCAAAGATGCTCAGATTGCCTGTGTTTCTGACTAGACCCCAGCAAAGCTCCCTAGGATTTTAGAAAGATTTTGCTCAAGCAAGGTGTGTGCAGAGTTGCTCCCTTCGCACAGTCTGTCTGGAGGCCTTTGAAATCTCTTCCCCATTTTTTTTATTTCCCACCTCAATTAATGAGACCTCAAAGGTTTTTTAAGTTCCTGTTCTTTGTGTTCACCATACTTGTGACAGGTCCAAAATCTGATAAATTAACATTTGCAATCATGTCTGATCTCTCCTTAATGATTTCATTAGGTGTTAAATACGAAGCTTAGCATCTTTTTTCATGTTAAGGCATTCCTTTTTGAACTGCAGAGCTTCGCAGAGAAGATCTTTGAAACCAAGAGCTCATGAATTATTAGCATTCACCACAATGCATATACATACCTTAAATCCTCTTCACGATTAGATCATTCCCAGAATTGACAAGTCTATAAGGATGAAGAAAGGGGACCTGTGAGAGCTGTGCAAGGAGAGAGATTTTGTAGAACATGATATCACATAATAAAGAATAAATTCTCTCAAGCCTGATAGTTTTGCAAGGTTTTACATACTCCTGGGCAGGTAATAATCTTCCTTAGGTTTTCTGGACTTGCAAGGAGCTTTAACATTTTTTTTTTCCCTGACAAAACTGTTAGATAACAACTGAGCCAAAATTAAATAACCCCAAAAGTCTTCCTCTCTAATCCCTTCTGTGCATGCTTAATGTTTCATTCTCCCACTTCAATTATGCCATCTGCATTATGTCTTTCGCTCCCCACTCAAAAAGTTGTTAAAATGAAAAGTGTCACAGCTCCATTATGCAGGCCTATACCTGTGCTGGCAGCATGCTCTTCTTCTCACCTCATATTGCCTTTTGCCTGGGAAAGAGATCCCCGCGGTGCATATGAAACTGGAAACTGAAATGAAATGAAGTTGATATGCAGGAGCTGGAGTATAGGTTATGACAAGCGAGCAAAATACGTAAATCTGGGGAGAATTCTGAGCTTAGTTCTTTGGGTCAAAAGTGATCAAGCCTGAGTGGCTAGCTCTCGTCATGTACACCAGCATCCCAGCCTCACAAAACTCAGTGGTGGGACTTGACTGTGAGTCCTTAGTAACACAGATAGCCTGGGTTTTACAGGTGCGAGGAACACACAGCTGTCATCGGCTCCAAATACACATTCGGAAGTCAGATTATAGGCATCAGTTTTAACATACTGGCTGTAGACCGTTTCATTTCCTGTTGTAATCCATCTCCAATACATCTCCGTACAAGGTGTCATCAAGACCTTTCCTAAGAACTCAGCTGAGAAGCAGATACAGTAGATATTTTTGAGAGAACATATTGGATTTCCACTGGAATCAATTCTTCAAAGCAATAATGAGTAACACGTTTTTATATATTCCCGAAACGTTCTCCACTTTCAGGGGACTCCTCAAGAAGGATTGCCTTGATGAGTTTATGATTATTTGGAGGATATAGGTGTATTAAGTTAGAAATAACTTAACAACAAGTTTTGGAAAGATGTTTCAAATTTGCACCTTTTAAAAGTACCTGTGTAGGCAGTAGTTTGGTTCTCTGCTTCATATCTTTTCATAAAAACCTGTTTTCCATTTATTTCTAGCTTGCAACTGTAATACATCATACATTAGCCTGGCACCACAGATGATTGAAAATTTGGGAAAAAAGTGCACAATATATATTTATATACATACATGTACTTCAGGTTAAATCATGCACCAGAGTGCAGAAGGATTTTTCACTGACTTAGTTACAGAGCAGTACCCTGGAGACAATTTCATGTTTAATTTAGAATGGCTGCAATATAGGAAATAGTAGAAAACAGGCTGTTGTTCACAGCATTTGCCACCACTATCTTTCCAACAAAAGATGTCACCCAGGTGCTTAGTTTGCAGGATTTCTGACTGTGCTTGAATCCTTGGCTGGATATTTCCCTTCAAACCCATTACCAGCAGACTTTCCCTTCAACCACATTACCAATAGATCCATTACCCTCTGAGCAGTGCTCACTACATAAGAGGACCTCAGGAGCATTTGCACTAGCACAAAAGTCTGTCCTGGGGACCTTCAGTGCCACTCTCTTTAAGTGATCCATAGCCATTAGGAAGGTCTTGAAGCACAGCTGGGATGAGAAAAAAGGTCTTCTTTGTAATTCAGTGCTACCATTAAATGCTCGTTTTCATTTCTGGAGCCCAGAGAAGTTTTAAGTTAGCATGGAAGCAACCTTCAGAAGTAGATGTAAACTCCCACAAGGTTTTTGGAAAGCAGTTTGAAATGGTTTGAAAAGCCAACAGAATAGTTTCTGTAATTTTGAAGTTTTAATTAAATGATAGGAGTTTATTAATTTATCAGCTTACCACAGAATAAAGTCAAACATAGGTGCTGTTTAATTTTAAGAACAACTGGAACACTTCCCATCTAGTTCTGTCTCTTCAATACAGAAGTCAAAAGCTGAACATCCAGAAGGCTGAGCACAGTTGCTGGAGCAATGGTAGTTCATATAACAATCCATTGACTTTCCAAAGTAGTATCTCCAGGAGATACTGAAGGCCTTCCAGCACTCCTAGAGATGCAGAAAATTAATTGCAAAACCCCCCAGATGGGTTGATCAGAGCAGTGGTATGCGTATTGCAACCAAATACGGATTTGCAAACCATGCTGGAAATTCTGCATGGGGAAAAGAAGGGCAAAAGGGAACTCTGGAGACTGCAACTCACTTCCCAGACTGATTGTGTCAAGTACAGTGGGGTAGCATTGGGAGCTTATGAGAGATGGGATGGGAAGAATCCTTAGCCACCTGCAAGGGCCACAAAGAGAAATAACAGCTGGGGTGCTTGTGGTTAAAAGTTTGTGCTTGTTGTAAGAAGAGTCTGTGACGTTATTAAAGTGAGGTGGTTGGACTGTGTCTTTTTCTTTGCATCCTTCAGAGGTAATTAGTGCCTCATCACAACTTACCTGCTAGTGGGTTCAACTGATGGATCTGGCGACCTCATATGAAATAGATTATTCAAGATTGTAGCAAAGAAAAACAAATTATTTTCTCTTCTTTCTGTTGCAGTCTGCTTGAAAGCTAATTTTCAACTCCATCCTTTCATGTGCTTTACAGGAGATTAAAATGAAATTAGTTCAGAAAGGATACTGCTCAAGATCATTTTAAGATTTTCCAAAGCTCACCAGCTTGTTGACCTGTAAACCACCTTTAGCTGGACAGATGGTAAGTAACAAATTGATCTCAGCCAATAAAAATCTGTCAGAACAATCTGCTGTTGGCAGGTGTCAGATAATTATCTCAATGAATAGATAAGCAAAGTGGTAAGCAAATTAGAAGCATCCATTGTAAGTAACAGGAGGAATTTTATTTATTTGTTATGTCCAGGCCCTTGATCATTTGTTGGAAAAAAAAAGAAACAGCCCATGCTGTGTCAGGAGAATCACTGAAATGTTGTACAGGGTTATAGGTGGTGTCACCAACTCTAAAGATTTTGGTTTTCAGCCTTGTGATTCCTCTTTACTGCTAAAAATTTCTGAAAAAAGACTTGGCTGAGATGCAGCAGGAGCCCATTGCTGAGCAGTTTTATGATATATTGTTGTAGTTGCAGTTATTGCTTATACAACATGCTGTCAGAAACTTGCATGGGAACCAGGACCCCTCTGCCCTTGGCACAGTGATAAAAAGACAGTCCCTGTCCCTAAACTCACATCCTGAATTATAAGACAACAAAAGATAAATTGAGGATCATTGGGCCAAAGAGAAAAGTGCTGTGCTTAGAAAGGAGGGCTTGGAGTGTGTTGCCTGCAGTAGGATTGGAGAGAGCCACAAGACAATATTCTGCCACCAAGGCCAGAGGACACACTATTAAGAAATGATATGAATAAACAAATGCTGAGATGGCTTGCTAAGATGTTGTGATTCCAGCTTGGTTGGCATTGAATTTCCAACTGACACACAAATCACTGTGAGCGGAGACTAACTGTTGTACCTAGGTGGGAGCAGTGCAATATGGATGCTGAGGCTACAGAGACTTGCCTATTGTTACTCATGTGGTCCATGAGGAAATTTGGAATGGTTTGCATTTGGGAATATTTAGGCGTTTTGTGAGATGTTGGGTTGTTTTTCTGTAGGCATACATATGGATATATATATAGCACAAGGACTTGGATAGAAAAGTATATGGGTCCTTTCTTCCATCCATTTAAGTACATAAATATATATGCACACATATAACAATATACATACGAACATAGAAATAATTACAGTACATACAATACGCAAATACGTTGTTAACTCAGTCAAGCTCCTGGATCTGAGTCCTGGAGGCCAGCATGTGATGATTGCTGTTCCTCTACATCACCTGCTGTTGAGTTGTGTGCAGGTCTAGGATGTGCCAGAGGCAAGTGATGACCTGGAATGCCTGCTTCCTGCTTCTGCAGTGTACATGCCTCACCCAGCCTGTGCATGCCTGTGCACAGCTTTGTAAGAGCTCCTAATTGATCTGTGATACCCAAATGTGAATTTCTGTTACCCTATAGATATCAAGAGGAGACTAGAATTTTGAATGCATCTTGATTACACATTAATGAGATTAACTTCTAGTACACATTCCTCTAAGAGGTGTTTGATGGCAGTGTGACTTGTATGAGTGCTGAGAGGAAAGGCCAGATTCGTTCTTCCTCTCTGTGTTTTTCAGTAGAGCTGTATCACAGGTAAATGTGGAGCCTGATGTCTTTCCTGTTCCAGTGATGACCCCCAACAGGCAGAGCAAGAGATGGACAATGTGGGTGTTGTGCTAGCCACACTCAAGGGCTATTTTGCCAACAAGCATTTGGGGTTAGGCTGTGGCTCTTCCCAGCATTTGCAAAGAGTGAGGAAGGAGACAGCCTGCCTTTACACCCTCAAGGAGGGGGTTTGCTGTTCCCTGTTAACAGGAGTTCAAGAAGACATGGCCAATATACAATGCTTATACACCAGGGAACACATCTCTGCTGCATGCTGTGCATCCAGTGCCCCCCATCACCACAGAGATCTTCTTCCACACCACTCAGACTTTGGCCAGGGGCTTTAGCTGCGCAAGAATTACCCTCATAAATGAGAATTAATTACTGTATTATCTCAGGCATCTAGTCCTTATTACTGCTGATCCTGCAAGGCAAAATCGTAAGGACCAGCACTACACTTGTTGGTCAGGTTCAGGTGGCCATGGGAAATTTAGATTTGAATGTACAGGTTTACCACGGGTTAATGTGAGAGTCTGAATACTAAATACAGCCCACTTTGTTTACTTCCTCTAGGAGCCACAAGCCTATAACCACTTAGACACCTGATATCCCCTTTTAAAGGAGATTAGAAGTCTATCCTGCCTCAGTATTTTGGGATATTCTACTAGAGACTGGGACATTCAAAAGGATTGGATGTTTTGATGTCTTCTTTACAGTGAGATTGCAGGGCCACATTTTACCAAGTTATTAGTAATGAGAGCCATCACACCTTGCCATTTTTCATGCTGACAGGGTATTAAGACACCGTTTTCTAGGTAAATGGGGAACAAAATGTGATTCCTGTCAAAAAAAAAAAAAAAAAAGAAAAATCAGAGATCACTCATAACAGTTGCATAAAAATAATAAATGGAAAACAGCAGCTGGAGAAAAGCATATTTTGATTAACTATTGAGCCTATTTCTTCCTTCTTGAAAGAGGAGAAAAGAGTAGTTCAGAACTAAGGGCTCAATGCAGCTCAGTTGTGAGATGTGGATCTGGCCCATGCCACATAGGAGAAATATTTTATTTAGAAGAGCTGGACAATTTTGTCTCCATCCTTTTTAGTCCCAAAGAACAAGCATTGTCAGAGTTCCTAATTGACAGCCTTTTGTATAGGAAAACAAATTGGAATTATTTTATGGACCATCCATTTCAGGTTTGGAATAATCTGTCTGTGAACCTATTTTTGCTTCTGTTTTTTTTTTTCTGAAACGAGTTCTTAGATCAAGACCACTTTAGTAAAAATGATAACTGAAAGTGACACACAGAATCAAAATATTCTGCTATGTGTTTCAATTTAGTCAGGGCAATGCCATCACACAGGCAATTCCAAAATAATGTTTAGACAAAAAGTTCAAAGCTCCTTTCAACTTGCTGTGGATTTTACTACATATTCTTAATAAACCCTCTTCATCTGCTACTGTTGAAATATAAGCTTTCAAACAATGTAAACCTAGCAAAAGCCTTTATGTTTTTTTACTTCCTTCTTTCCTTACCAGCACTGCTATTATCACATGGTGTGTTCCACATGATAAGCCATTCATTAAAGCATCACCTACTGTTTTTTTCCTCCTCAGTACCAGCTAGAACATGATCTGTCTCTGCAGGAAGACATTGGACCTCTGACCTCTTTTGTAGCTATTCCAGACAAATATAATAAACAGGGTTCACTGAGTTTGTGTAAATCTCTGATTATGTTTACTCTGAAATCCAAGTGTTCATCTCAGGCAGAAAAATTAAGGCTGATTTTCAAATATTATGTACAAACTCTAGCTACTAAGCATTCCATAATGAGCACTTTGGCAATTTAAAGCAAATTAGGGTTCCCACCAGGCAGAGAAGATATACAATATAGTCAAGTAAAGATTGTATGTTGTTTGATGAAAAATAGGTATGCAGAAAAACATGATACAGATTTCTGGCTCTAGGTGAATTAAGACAGTGCTGGCGCACTTCATTACTGAAATTTTGCATTATTCCTCACTTTTAAAAGCTTAGTTTCAGTTTACTAATAATTTCTTTAATGCAGCTTGAGTAAACATCATCGTAAAGAACCTCCTGTTGTGGCAGTATGTTCCCTTCTGCTGTGATAACTGGGATATTTGGGTGTTGCTGTACAGAAAACAACCAATCTATAATCCTTACATAGTAAAATTCAGCTCTGTTTAGTGATTTGGTGACCCACATTCACTGAGAACTGGTGAAAAGCACTGAAAATGCCTTTACACTTTGTGGGAATTCTACTATCATGGATCTTTGCTCAGATCATTTGCCTTTGTCAATACAAGGCAGTGCATTCTACCAAGCTTACAATATCACAGGGAAATACTTCAGGCTTCCCAAAGCAGTGGCTACAGCACCAAGCATCCTGGAACTGGGTATTCAGTCAGCCCTGTCAATTTCTGGATTTGTCTTTGGAAGAGAAAAAGAGATGTCTGGGAATCCAGAAATTGAATGAAAATTGGTGATACTGTTAATAAGATCAACTTCTGGCCTATTTGTGAAATAAAAACCATCCCTGGTGGATCTTTTCAATTCTGCTTTACAGTTTTGGGCTTTGCTAGACTTTTTTTTCCCCCTCATTTTGCATTTAATTATTTGTATTTGGGGTTTATATCTATTTAGTACAAAGGAATTATGTCATCTTATGGAAAGAAGGGACTGGGTCTACTAGAGACATTTTCTGTGTAAAATAGAAGAAAAAAAATGAGTTAATGCTCTGGAAGAAAATAGTAGACATAGTTGTGCATTGTTTAAGAACACAAAAATTAGGGCTCATCTGGTTTCTCTTGGTTATACTTTTCACCTAAGAAAATGTACTTTCACTTGAAAATCAACGAAGCTGAATGTGGAGAAAAATACTACATTATTACATTTACTTAAGAAAAGTTGCGGAACATTCTGAAAATTCTACTGTAATAATAATCTTGACATGCAGATTTTAAGTCCTGCATTGCTGTTGTAATTAAGTAGAAATCACAGAATGGTTTGGATCATTACCAGTGGCTGCATAAGGGTTTTAGCATCTTTTATCTCCTTTCACTCTGGCTAAAATGTGATCCTCACTAGCAAGTTAAACGGCAATTTAGCAGATTGTTCTCTACATTCTGAAGTTCCCCTTTAGTTTGATTTCATTTCTCCAGTCCTTTTCCTTCAAGGGTGACTAAACAAGCAGTATACTCAAGTTCTTGCAACTCACTGTTTTCTCTTTCCCAGTGGGATTACTGTGTGGTATTACTGATTTAAAGTTTTAAGTGGCTTTATGAAATTTACTTTAGAAAAGCTGAGCGTGAAAGAAAGTAGTTAGAACCTGAGCAAAAGGAACTGATGATATTAACTGAATGAATTTCCTTGAATTTCAAAGAGTATTGGTCGTAACCTTGTCAGGATTGAGGTTCCCTGTGCAGCAGACAGAGGGGGAAAAAAAAAAAAAAAAAGGATTTTAAGAGTTTTATGATT